CCCCCAAAAAAAATGCATGGGTCATCATTACGGCCCATATATATTAAACTCACTTCTCTTGAACTTCAGGTCCTTCAGCTCTCAGGGAAGGCCCGAGCTGACTTCATGTCGACGGCTAAGCGAAGCCTGCAGCCAAGTTACACTGCGCATCGACCAGGGCCTCAGGAAGTCTCAAAGAACCCAACGGCATGACTCCCCCTGCTCACAACCCCGTGCCTTGACTACTAGAACACGCTACTTTCGAAACCCTTGAACACTGACCCTGCACACCGAAACATCCCGAGCCGTGAACTCCTGAGCTCCCAACCCTTCCTCTCCCCACTCGAAACCCCTAAACCCTAAACCCTAAACCCCAAAACCCTAAACCCCAAAACCCTAAACCTCAAAACCATGAACCCTAAACCCTAAACCCCTGAACCCCCGGACTCCTCCCTAAACCATCTTGGGCTCTTTTATTGTTTTTCAGCAGGCGTCTCTCGCCCGGAACTGCCGTCGCCCGTGAAGAAACCCCAACCCCCAAGCGTTTGGGGTTCATATAGGGTTCCTAAGCTCTCTAACTCATAAGCCCTATAAAGCCTGTTTCCTAAGAGTCCTAAGGCCTCTCTGCGGCGTGAGAAGCCCGGGTTCCGACTTACCACGGCCGCGCACACGGAAGCAGTAGAGCTGCCGCGGACGCAGACCAGCCTTGCTGAACATCGCAGGCTTTAGGCATCGGAGTCATGTCTTGGGGTATGGTAACTATATAAAGGGACGGTCAGGGGACATCATTGCTGGTTGTTCAGAGCTTCATATTACACTGTGTATGTTGTGAAGCTTTGACAGTACGACACTACTTGTACGAGCATTGATTCATGCAGGACACTTGCAGGACATTGGTACCAACAAGGACCAGTCTTGCGGCTAGATCCGAGTTTCCTTCGGGATCCGAAGCTTCGGAGGGTTTTGTTAGCCTCCTGTGCTGCAAGGCCGGGAAGCCATGAGGTTTTGAGGATTTCGGAGGTGCTAGGCCGAGTTGGGATCAAGATACCTGACCGATTGACCGACCATCCACGCTTTGCAGCCTCCTGGCACGAGAAGTACATCGTAGAAGCACGTGAACCCTACAAAATCCTGCAAAGAAAGCCACGAAGCTCCCGGAGCATACTCACAGGGTGCTGATCTTCAAGCTCTGGAAAGACATCGTGGACGCATCAGCAGAAGCTTACTCAGAACAACGGTACATACGAGTCTAGTAGCGCTGTTAATGCGCTTGATTTTCCGCCTGAACGCTGCTGCTGCTGAGCTTGTTCATGTGTTGGTTTGGCCCTCAAGAAAACTTATATAGCAACAGCAACGACACGGATACTACCACCAGCACTGAAACATTAATCATGCGAAATCGCTTGTTCTGATGCGCTGCAAGTCATAAGAGAAACTTCCAAACTGCTCAGGCATGGGGCAATCGTTGCTTCAGTCTGCTCGCTCCCTGATTCCATGGGTCCAGGCTCCTCCGGCTGCTTTTCGGGTTTAGGGAGGGTTTAGAGAACCCTAAACCGTAAACCCTAAACCCTACTTATAGACGTTCTGCACCGGCTCTATAGGTTTGCGGTAATGTCGCCTTCGAGGCTCCGTCTTTAGTGCAGCCTTCTTGGGTTCGCAGGATTCGGGTGAGCACTCGCTGAGCTACTTCAAGACATCTGAGGCAACTTATGCTCCAAGTTGATACTGAGATTTCTGTTCCAATCTTCTAAGCCTCTCTCCCACAGCGAAGATGTAGCTTACAAATCCTCGTGAACCGTGACGATCTCACTCATGCGACTTTTCTCGTGTTTTTTTCATTGGCCAGCACCGAGCAGGTCGTGACGGGCTAAAGCATGGCAGGGGCTGAACATGGCAGAATGTAGGAGCCTTATAGTAATCAGAATAGGGTTTTGGGCTCCTTTATAGTATTATGATAATAAGGAACCCTAACAGTAATAGTTATTTAGGCTTCTATATCATTGGCAATCAGGGAGCTACTATGGTCACTTCAGCGTCGCATCCTTTGTGTGGACTGACGAAATGACACATGGTATCCCTATGTTCTCAACCCCCCCCCCCCCTCCCCACATCTGGCTCGAACTTGAAAGCTGGTGCCACAGGAACTTGAGATCAGGCTTCTTAAAAGCCACTTACACTCTCACAAATCGGAATCGGACAAGCAAGGCGAGGTTCCATAGGTGCTCACGTCGGCGTGAAAACAAGTTGACTACATGGTTTAAAGGCCATTTGGGGCTTATAGGTTTTGGAAGATGGCTCTCGTCCCAGATGACTACTCGGTTAGTTGCTCTCAACGGCCCAGGACCGCTACGCTTTGCACGTTGCTGGCGCCAACCCACGCATTAAGCCATTGGCTCTTTGATTCAGCGAAATATGTATATATATATATATATGTTTTTGGTTGTTTCTTTTTTTTGGGGGGGGGTTCCGCCGGTGTGTCCTCAGCCGGGGCCTCCACGGTAGACACCCAGCCTGATCGTAAATGCCATGAGTCACGCGCTTTAAATTGTAAAGCCTGCGCTAGTTGGTTGAGGGGCCATGTTTACCGGGATTAGTTTAGGGATCTTACCTCCACATGGGTCGGAAGTTTTAATTTCCCGCGCCATTCAGCAGCCCAGCCCACAGAGGCCTGGCCTGCTACCGGGCTCCGTGATGAAGCGAGAAGATCAGAAAACAGAGGTGCCAATGTGCAATGAACATGGGGATAATCGGCAAGGGCCCGGATCCCTCCAATCGAAGTTTCATTCAAATCTGTGGGTTCATTGAGGTCTTGCAGCCTCCTAAATGCCTCAAGCCTCGTCTGCCCTGTAGGCACCCTAAGACCTGAAGAATGCAAACCCAAAAGACGATGCGCTAGGCCCTCGAAGACAATGAGGACATGGGAGTTTTTGAAAATATGGGAACTGTAGTTTACAACCCCCAAAAAAGTCCCAAACACATAGAGTATGCATTACGTCACCCCATGAAGCACCGAAGCTTGAAGGCAGCCAGGTTGCTGGGCTCGCTACTGCTCTGCGGCTCCACCTGAGCGACCCTCACGGCAGAGCTGGAGTGATGCGTACCAAAGATATGCCCGCATGTCACGTTGCCACAGGTCACATTAGCCAACCCCGAACCCATATTCAGTTCTTGTGCTTAGTTGATGCTGCTCGTGCTGGCAGACGGCGGCAGATCCTGCAGAAGATGTTGTGCACATTCATTGCTTGACTGTCAAACACTGACGCGCTGAAACTATGCAAACAAGCTCCGTACGCTCCTGGGATAACAATCCTGGACTCTCAACGTAGCTGCCCCGTTAGAGCCCTCCAAGAAGCACTGGCACCCAAAACAAAACCTGACAAGCCAACCAGGAGCCGCCAAGGATCCAGAATTTCGTAGCCTGAGCTTTGCACGAAACAAGCAGATTGGTGGAAAAGTACTCTTCTTTCTTTCTGCTGTCGCTTCGGATTCCGAAAGACAAGCTCCTGGCACGGCTGCAGGCCGGCATCCGAGCTGCACTCCACGTCGATGGTGGAAGTCGTCCACCGCAAAGTGGCAAACTCAAGCCCTGCTTCCTGGCACATGGGTCGAATCCGACATGGCCCTTTCTATATGCAGGGACAAGGAGCTGAAAGACCAAGCGGACTTGCTTGTTTTGCTCAATCGGTCGGGCTCTCTGGATTTACTGCATTGCCACATATGCCGTGCGACCTGATTGTTACATATCGCTCCAGGTCCAAACGTTGACTTAGGGGACGCAGGTGGACGCAGGCTAAAGCAAAGATTCGCGGTTTAGGGGCTTGGAGAATCTACCCGGGTAAGCACATACAGAGAGGGCAGAGGAAAAACTGGGTCTAAGTTGCAGCGGAGGACCACGGCTTCCGGTGGACCCAAGTCTTTGGGCCTGCCAAGCTTGGAAAATCCGGAAGTTCAGGCGAGGGTTCAGGGTTTTGGATGCGCATGCAGGGTTTTAGTCAGTTTGTTTAAACCCTCTCGCAACATACCATGCCATCCGGCAGAGTCGCTTGGCATGGCAACCCCGCATCTGTACGATAGAAAGTGTTTCAATACCTACATTTAACACACGTGCTGCGGGATTGGCTTCCTATAAAGGCCGCGCAATATCCTATGGCATGCAGTGTTATAAGCCTTTAAAGATATATAAAACGACTTACATGTGCCGTGCTTCACGCCGTCGTGCCAATCGTCTGCTAGATCCTCCGAATTCCTGTTTGTTCATGTATACGTTGCCGACACAGCCATGAAGCATGATGCTTAGTCTTATGGGGGTTAGGGTGAAGACACACAAGTATGCAGGCGCACCAGCAGGCATATGAACTGACATCTGTTTGGAGTCCCACTAGACATGCAGGCCGACATGCATACATACATGGATGCATATTTACCCACGCATGTACTACATGCCGTGCTAAGAGGTCACAAGGCAAGCAGTGTAGCGACTCTGTACATAATATAGGGGCCTTAATAATTAGAATAGGGTTTGGGGAGTATATTATATTACAATTACAATAAGGAACTCCCAAAATAGTATAGGTAATTATCAAGGCCCCTGTATTAGGTCACAAGACAAGCAGTCTACATAGACATCGACCCGGTGCCTGAGAGAGCAGATGCCTCTGAACTCGGAGACTCGGAGATACATGCACGATATGGGAGCCTTGTTTAAACATGGGGTTTCTGCTGCTATCATTGCAAATCGAGCCCTAAGGAATAAATAGTATTGGTAAAGCTTCAGGCATCTATGTGTATATATATATATATATGTATGTATTTATGTAGTAAAATCTAGATATTGAGGATATACCTCTCTCCTGCGTGCGCCAAGGCCGCGGCCTGGGCTCCGGCGTCCGCAACGGCTCTGACATTGCGCTCCACTCCGAAGCGCCAGCCTCACAAACTGTGAGGCTTAAGAAGGTCCGGGCTTGAGGGCCAACATGGCTCACAAGTAATAACAGCATCCTGAAACGACTCCAGAAATGGTGTCAGCCATGACGGTACAAAGTCCCACCCCAACAATGCAAAGACTTCGAACATTGAGTCAGAGTGGCTTCGTTGTGGCATCGCACTTGCAGAACGTAGTCCTTGGACAGCAAGTTATGCATACATCTCTTTTTTCTGCATTTGCACCTTGTGTCGCTTCCTGCTCCTCCCTGCCTCCCCGTCACGTTTACACTTACACTCACACAAGCGCAACCTCCACGCGGAAACAGAATACTTTGAACTGCTGGTTCCTAGGTGTTCTGGCAGCAGGGCCAACGGCATCCCATACCTTTTCGAACGATGCGGCGACGTCTCAAATTAAAGAGCTGACATCTCAAGGCCACTGCTGACGCAAGCCAAGCAGTTCGAATGGGATCTGCCGAGCAGCTGTTCCCAACGATACACCCTCGAGATGATACTCCGGGAAGACTTCGTCACCACTGAAGACCTGCTTGCTGCAAGTCTTTGAGACCTCTGAATCAGCTCGAAGGAGAATGCCATGTCCATGATAAGAGCATACCAGCATGCGCTCAGCCTTTGACTTTCTAGGGCTTGGGGTGCAGGGCAGCTTCATTTGAACACCCTTTTCGCCCTGCCGTGAATCTCGCTTGAATCAGACCCCCCTCGTTCAATCAAACACCCGAAGCTCCCAGCCAGGAGACGGCCAAAGGCTCCTCTCCTTGCAGAAACTTCTCTCGCTCCCAGAGCTTCAAGTCCTTGCGTTGGGGAACGCTTCGGTGCTTCGCGGCTGGTGGCAGAACCGCCAGCTGCAACAGTTGGAGCCACCTACATGACCCACAAAAATTACGAGTAACAAAGCGTCGACCAGCATTTCCCTGGCATTCACAGATGCTCATCAACCCTGGCCTTCCGTGATACACCTTCAAAAAAAGAATCTCCTGGATACAACAATGGGTTCTGTATCTATATATGCATATAGAGACAGATAGGGTCCCAGGTTGCAGGGACTCTATATACCCAGACCTTAGAAAGTCTACCTCTGAGCCACGCTGCATGAGCAATGATCGGAGATCCACCCGAGTCTAGGGGCTCGTGCCAGTTGACAATGATGAAACCTCGGGTGCAGGCTGGGGGAATTTTTTTCAGGCTCTAGGATTTTAGTTGGAGATGGGCACAATTACAATGCTTTAGGAACAGGCTCGAAAATAGGCGACCGGGGCAGTGAATCCGGGCCTTGTGTAATAAACTCTGGTACAAAAAGCCATCGCGCCCTTTTGCCTACCATTAAAAACCATCAATATGTGCAAAGCCTCTTGCCCGAAAGAACAGTGCGAAAGGAGTTGCAGCTCTTGAAACAAACGTCATCACTACTGTAGGAATTAATAATTAGAATAAGGTTTTGGGGTACATTATACTCTATTTATGGTAAGGAGCCCCCCAAAATAGTGTAGGTAACTATTTAGGCCCCTATATTGCCCTACGAAGGCTGAAGGGTCCGCAGCCAAGGTGCAGCCAGACTCGGAAAGCCCCGTCGCCGTTAAGTAAGGTGCACCTTCGCGGCAGCAATCCGACAAGGGCTTGTGCCTATGGCAATGTGTACTTATACCTAGTCTGTTGCGACTGAGGTTATGCAATGGTGCAAGAACTATCCGATCCCTCTTTCCGCCACAGGCTGCTTGATAATGAAGGAAAAACGCATCGCTTTCAAGTGGGCATCCATCGTGACCTACATGAATCCCTCCGAGACCCCGGGAAACTGTCAGGAGCTGCCCCGTATTCCGTGCAGCGAAGCCTCGCCACTTCATTAAATCCGGGAGTCCTCAAGCCACCCCTGTCAACCCAAACACGAGTGACAACACCGGCCACTAACATTATGGCTTACGGTTCCTTAAAACACTACACCCAACTCTCCAAACCTTGGACCCTAAAGCCTGAACCATCTTCCGATTCAAGCCCCCCAAAAACTGTCTCGTGCTTAGTGGGGAATGGGGGAATGGGTTCTAGGGACTACTATAAGGGACCTTAAAGGGACTATCATAGGGATCCATTCCCCCATTCCCTACTAAGCACCAGACAAAAAAGTGCCCAAGAAGCTGGGCGGGCTCGGGGTCCGTGTGTGCACGCGGAAGGACAAGGGTGGGCCCACGGTGCTCAAAGCCCTGCAGGCGTTTTACAAAAAAGAGTGCCTCATGAAAACAATAAGTAGAAGACGGTAGAGGTTCTTTCATCTAACTAGAAAAGGAGATTGGGGTAGATTGTAGTATACTGGTAGTTATACGAAGAAACCGTACGGAGTAGTGTTGGTAGCTATGCATGCCTCATAGGATTTCTCAACTGCTCGAGCTCCAAGGCATACAAGGGCCTAAGTCCTACATATCGGACGTTTTTGGAGACGATCGGTATTATCGCGTGTTTCTTGCTATACAGCAAACCTCTTCATAGAACACAGCAGCTACTGGAACTCATGCCACTAGACCGCTCGCGCTACAATCTGTAGCCCCAGCACAGACAGACAATTACTAGAAACTGACAGCTTGAAAGCACAGCTGGGCAGAAGATGTATGTTTGGAAGTCTGGCACCCATTGGGTTTGTGACTGGGCTTGGGGTCACGTTTATCACTCGCATGTAACTTGCTTCCAAGCAAGGCAACTGTCTGTGAAGGCCGTATGAATATCGTCATCTCATCATCATCATCAGCAGCAGCACCACCACCACCACCAGCATCAGCATCAGCACCAGCACCAGCACCAGCGCCAGCACCAGCGCCAGCACCGTCATGATCATGATCATGGTCATCATCATCATCATTATCATCATCATCACCATAAACATCGTTGCAGCTGTCGCTGCCGCCCCGCCGCCGCCGCCCGCCGCCACCAAAGACACCATCCGCCTCCTCCCCATCAGCAGCAGCACCAGCACCACGACCAATGGCAGGCAAGAACACTCGCACAATCGAGGCGAAAGACTCTTCACAAAGACCACTCCGACGTGTTTTTATTGATGTCTTCAATACACATGTGGCGAAAGAAGATGCCGTCAGGTGGTGAAAGTTAATGAAGTGGAAAGTTAGGGCGCCAGGAGCTGTGAGTTCGCACGGCATAGGAATACTTGTCCAAGAAAGCCCCGAAAACCGTGGACGTCTGACAGAAACAACACCCTTTTTCAACACCGTAAACCCATAAACCTATAAACCTGCGAAGCACTAACTACATCAGAAAAAGCCCTACATGACACAAAACCTGAGCCTGGAGCCCCAGAACCTCTCAAAATAACTCTTCTGGCTCCACCCATTAGCAACCCTTCAAGGAACCCTTCCGAATTCCATCTAGGATCCCTTTAAAGGCCCCGAAAGATTCCTCTAAAAATCTATACATGCTCCAAGAGGAACCCTTAAAGGAAAGCCCGTTAGGTCGGCCTCAGCCCATCCTCCGAGGCGCAGAGCTGTAAGGCCCAGAGCCCTGAGGCACCTCCAAAGAAACATGACCAGGGCGGGAGGGGTTGGGATACTTTAGGGCTCCTTTCAGGGCTCCTGTAAGGGTTGGTTTAGGGGTCATTCATTACATATATATATATATATATCTATCTATATATTATATGTATATATATATATATATACTTATTTATATATTAACTTATTTATTTGTTTATTGCTTTAAGGCTCCTCACAGAGCTCCTTTCAGTGAGGGTTGCTAGAAAGTTTACTTGAAGGTTTAGGAGATCTAGGGTTTTTGTTCAGCTACGGATTTGAGGATTTAGGTAGGTACTATGGCTGCAGGGTGGATTAGGCAGTCTCGCCGCATGGCAGCGAAACAGAGGCTAAAGGTCCCGCCTTTGTCACACGCAGACTGAGGACGGGCATCTGCAATTTAAGGCTTCGGGTGAAGATTCGTCATCCTGCCCTAATTGGGGCGATAAAGATCAGAAATAGCAGCAGGGTGGCCCAACTTGTAGCTACCCATGCAATTGCGGGTGCTGCTAGTAGGACCTTCAGGGTATAGGGTTCGGTCAAGGACGTAGTGGTGACCAGGTGAGTTAAGAACAGCAACCACCACAGCACCACCATGGTCTTGTGGAGTCTCTGGCTCGCTGCACCCCTTAAACCCTAAAGTGGACACGGGCTTAGAGCACTAAGATTACTGCAACTCACGGCTCAGGGTGACTTAAGCCCCCTGCCAAAACGACCTCGGACACTGCAAACAAAGGCAAACACACAATTCCGAAGCGTTTGGCGCTCAAGGTTCAGGGGAGCGCAGCCAAGTTTCTGCTGCACTTGTGGCAGACCTGTAATGCAGACAATGCAAAAGCCGAAAATCTCTTATCTCGAGCACGACACCCCAAACACAAAACTCCAATCCAGAACCCCGTGCACAACAGACTCACTTTCACATCCCTACGCCTCTGTTGCATCCGGGTAAGTTTGAGCCTGTGGAAGAAGACAAACACCCTAACGACAAAGCCAAGGCATACTAGTCCTGCTGCACCTGGTGCCCGTCGTCCGGGTGCCCGGACAAGAGCGGCCGCGAAGGTCCGGGAAGCTGGCTCCAAAAGGGCCCGGGACCTGGGCATTCGGATAGGGCACTGCGCAGGCCACTGCAATCACTGCCACATTCCAGGGTCAACAACGTAAGGTTTGATGTGTTGTATGGTTTCTTTGGGGTTTCGAAGCTCACGCTCGGACTATCCAGGCGAGGCAAATGGGGCGGTTTATACACGGAGGCAAGTTCGGCGGCACCCTTCATGAATGGCAAACCATTGATGTCAAAATCCTAAACGCTATTTAAACCCTAAGCCCTGAAACCCTAAACCCTAAACGCCGGGACCCGAAAAGCCCAAATGGCCACCCGACTCTGTACTGAGGACTGCGCTCGATCTCCACACCCTCCACCAGGGAGCGCTCCAGGCCCAGGGGGACCTTGGGGGCTTTAGAGCTACGGTTTAGAGTTTAGGGTTTAGGGTTTATAGAGCTTGTGGGCAAGAACCTCGGGAAATCGTATTTGTGGATGGGAGTCCGTCAAACCCATGCGTTTAAGACCTGTGACATAAACGAGTATACGTGATAATACATTCGGGCTAAAACTGCTCTGCAATCAGAGTTAAGGGCTCAATCTAGCAAGAGGGCGCAATCATGTTTCATCTGAACTACAACACGGCCAGTCGATGATCTGCTTAGAGCAAACCAAGAGAACTGAAAAGTCTGCAAGCCGCCACGGCGAGGAAAGGGGCTGCGCCAAGCGCCTTCGGTTGCATGACACGAACAACGGGGGACTCTCGCAGCTTCCGATGCTGCACCTGGGTCGATGGCAAGGTTCAGGGGCATCTTCACCCATTTTCGATTGAGTCACGTGTTTCCCAAATCGGGGAACCCACACATGTTACAAAGCTCAAAACTTCTGCTGACGACTGTTTGCCGACCCTGACGCGGAGCTGCTGGAAACTGAAACGACTTTTATACGACCCCATCCCGAACGGAACACTGGCAGCAACTCTTGGCAGTGGCCGAAGGGTCAGTTAAAAGCTACCTTGCCTTAGGGTGCGGAGCTGAGGTTTAGTTCCTTCCGGAACCATGCCAAGCTCCTATATACATGATGAGCGAGCGTACTCCTGGCGTGCATCTTGCGCTGGTAAAATGAAGCTGCGATGTGCTTTGAAGTTCATTGTGATTACAGCTCTAGCGGCTCGCAGGGCACCTGTCTGAAGTCGAATCTCGGAAGAGCCGCTGCAAGCAAAAGCAAGAAGTCCTACTTGTCCTCT